CACCCCCATGGGGCTGGGACGGCTGGAGGGGCTGCCCTGCTGGGGAGCGATGCAGGGGGCACAGCCCTGCTTCCCACTGCCCCACGCCGTCATGGGCTGCCCTGCGCAAGAGAGCAGTGAGCACATGCCCAGTTTTGAGCTTAAATTTCATCAAGGCTGGGGAACAGAGAGTGATGGTGGGAGGCGATTTTTAATGTAATTAAAGGGCTGCTGCTCCAGGCTGCTTAAAAAAAGAAAACTGACTATAAAAAGATGTATTTCACCCAAGATCCCTAAAAAGCACCAGGATAATTAACGCGTGCTGAAGTGCCTCGCGCGGCCAGCACCTATGTTTAGCTCCTGGGCCAGGGAGCGGGTGCTGCCTGGGCAGGCCACCGGCAGCAGCAACCTCACAGCACCATGCAGGGACACCAGCAGGGAAGTCAGCCAAACGCATCCAAAATATTTCCATTTAAAATAATAATACTAATAATAAAAAGAAACATTTTAAAAAGCATCACATCTCAGGGTTGGAGCATTGGTTTCTTAGTGCATTTGCAAGAACTCTGGCTCTCCAGGGCAGCAGGGCTTGGAGAGGTCACCAGTTTGCCCAAAAGCAGCGTCTGGCATCTGTGATTAAAAGTGATCGCAGGATCTGACAGCTTCAGAAAATAATCTTGCCTTTGTAGACAAACAGCTGGAAACAAAACACAGAACAGCTCGCATGCCTCCAGGGGATGTGCCACTAGGTGGCAACAACAAAACCCCATTTTTCGGGAGCATGTTGAGACGATGAGGCAGGCGTGCAGCGCGCAGCCCTATGTGCAAATGCAATGGTTTCCTTTCTGCGCTCCCATCAGTTTTTTTAACGTGTACAAGTACGCTGCCATGTTGCTCATTACATGCTGTGGTGAGCGAGGTGGGGGTTAGGCAGGCAGCCCGCTCCCCAAGCCCCACATGGGCGCATCGCTGCCCTCGCACGGCAGACAATGAGGAACCCCCCAGGCAGCTGCTGCTGCACCCAAGCCCCGCTGTCGGTCCTGTGACCCAACGCTGCTGGGGTTTGCACCAGCCACTGGCACCAGCTTTGCGCTGCAACTGGGTGGGCTTGCGCTCGGCATGGCCTGGCAAGGGCACTGCATACGGTTTTGATGTAATTGCCTGAGCCCGTGGAGACCTCATGGTCAAAGTGTTCCTGTCTGGCGCAGGCTGACATGGCTCTTATGTCCAAATTTAATTATTATTTTTGCAGGGCGGTAAATGAGCAGAGCAGCGTGCTCCCATCCTGCCCAGGTCCACCGCGGGGCTGAGGCTGTGGTTGGGGCTGCACCGTCCTATTTCCACGCCCTGGAGCTATTCTGGAAGGAAACCTCAGTGCCAAAAATAAGTAAAGAAAACAAAACCAGAAGGACACTTTGAGCATGGTGGGGAGAGGCTGAGGTGCTGCTGCAGCCAGGGAAAGGGGCACTCCTGCCATGCAGCACAGTGGCCAGGGCACCTCCAAAATGTGCATGGGGGGCACTGGAAGCAGAGCTTGCCCTGGCTTTCACCTCTCTCCATGTGCTGTCAGGGACAGGAGCATGCGTGACACAGCCACAAACTGGGGAGCAAAGTGATGAGCAAGGAGAGCGTGCACCAGCAACAGCATAAGAATAAGGGATCCCCCTCTCATCCCCCTTACCTCTCACAGCACAAACCCAAATGCAAACCAACATCAGCTGGGCACGTGCCCTGTTATTTTTTTGCAAGCAGTTGATTTTAGAATAAAAGGAGGAGGGGAGAACACCTAAAATGCACCACGTATCAACCTCAGTTATCAGTACACAACCTTTATATATTGGCCCTCTGCAACTAAACATTTCATATGATTTTCCTTTTTCTCTGAGGCAGGAAACCAGATAAAGGAAATTAATTGTATTTACATGCCTGGCAAAATGTGGGCCACAAGTAGCTCTGTAATGTGAGCACTTTGAGGTAGACTGAACTCTGGGGAACAGAAACCCAGCAAATCACTGAGGCAAGGTCACAGCGTTATCACAAATCCCAGCACTCGCCACCACTGAGGTTCTCACGTGTTTGAGCAATATCTGTATATCATATTCCCTCTGGTTTTTTGCCTGTTTTGTTTTTTTCAGAAGGAAGAAACTGCGCACCAGCTAGAGTAAGTTACCA